TACCGAACATTTCCGCAATTCAAAAACTCAGTAACACCGTACTGACTCGATTAGTGTGTAAAGGGTGATACGGTCAAAATTTGGTCAATATCAACTTGACGTATTTCTTTCAATTTTGCATTTAAAAAAGCTGAACACCCCTCGTTTTGAAGGTGTGTGTGTGTAGAATGTTGCTCCTATTTTGATTTTGGAATTCACTCTTCAGTTGTCAAAATGCCGTCCAAGTTGCAAGCTACTCGCACGCAAAGTTGGCAAAATCGCTAAAAGTTGCCAAATCAACCGTTACAAATGTAATTAAAGTGTTTGGGGAACGTTTGTCGACAGCCAGGAAGTCTGGATCGGGGGGAAATCGAAAACCGGAAGCCGCTGAGACGACAAAGAGAGTTGCCGGTAGTTTCAAGCGAAACCCTAACCTCTCTCTCCGAGATGCCGCAAATAAGCTGGGTGTATCGTCTACAACCGTGCATCGAGCCAAAAAACGAGCCGGACTATCGACTTACAAGAAGGTAGTGACTCCAAATCGCGATGATAAACAAAATACGACGGCCAAAGCGCGATCCCGGAGGCTGTACACGACGATGCTGACGAAGTTTGACTGCGTGGTAATGGACGACGAAACCTACGTCAAAGCCGACTACAAGCAGCTTCCGGGACAGGAGTTTTATACGGCAAAAGGAAGGGCAAAAAAATATCTGGTTTGGCAAGCCATCTGTACCTGTGGCTTGAAAAGCAACATTTTCATAGCTTCCGGGACTGTCAACCAAGAAATTTACGTGAAAGAGTGTTTGAATAAACGTCTGCTGCCTTTCCTGAAGAAACACGGTTGTTCCGTACTGTTTTGGCCGGATTTGGCATCTTGCCATTACGGTAAAAAGGCCATGGAGTGGTACGCCACCAACAACGTGCAGGTGGTTCCCAAGGACAAGAACCCTCCTAACACGCCAGAGCTCCGCCCAATTGAGAAATACTGGGCTATTGTCAAGCGGAACCTAAAGAAGACCAAAAAAACTGCTAAGGGCGAGCAGCAGTTCAAGGCAAACTGGCTTTCTGCGGCGAAGAAGGTGGACAAGGTGGCTGTACAAAATCTGATGGCAGGGGTCAAGCGTAAGGCCCGGCAATTCTGATTTGGAAAAGCGGAAGCCTAACTGAATATTTTTCCTGAATTTTATACTAATTGAACTTGAAAAAGAAATTTAATTTGATTTTTTAAATAAACGATTTCACCGATTTACACGCGTTTTCCCTTGACCAAATTTTGACCGTATCACCCTTTATGCTATTGTTAGCATGGCTTCCACAAGAGTTTCGTCCTATGGTGATGGGAAAGGACCACGATGTCGACACACAGTGGGACGAAATCAAAAAAAGTGAGACATGGCTATTTGCGATGAAACTATTTAGTGTAGCTTTTTGATGTCTTATAGAATGTTTCTTTATTTTTTAAGTACTTTATTAAATGTTTTATGCAAATGTTCACCATAATTATTTCTTTTGTCATAATTAACAGTAAGCAATACGTTTTTTGTCTTCATGTACCTATGTACATTCTTGGAAAAGTCTTCATGAAAACAGCAAAACGTAGTAAAACATTGAGGTAAATCCTTTCAACAAAGAGATAGCAATTAGCAAGACATTAATTGTGCAAAAATATGGATTTTCTAAGCACTTACAACTTTGTAGAATATTTAAAAAACGAGAAAATTCAAAGAAAAAAGTTATGGTGAAAAAACGTTTTTTAAGGGGGTACCAACGTTTGTAGTCAATTTTCACCCTATAACGTCGTCCACTTGAGAGATAGAAAGTTTAAACCTTAAACAAAGTTTCTTAAAAAGACTCTATCTTCAATGTTTCCGTAGGTGTCCATCAAATTTAACAAGACATAAAAAAGTTATTTTTATTTATCTAAGTGTATACCCTACTTAACCAAAAAATTTCACTTTTTAAATAAAGTACTTAAAAAATAAAGAAATATTCTAGAAGACATCAATAAGCTACACTAAATAGTTTCATCTCAAATAGCCATGTCCCACTTTTTTGATTTCGTCCCACTGTGCGACGGGGTGAAAAATAGGTCACATAGCAATAAATTGTGCTGCCAAGAAAGACGTTGAAGACACCGAGGCGAACTCTACGCTCCCACTGCACCAATCTTCAAACCCGCTTGAGGCGCAGCGGTCGGGAGCTCTTTCTCTCAGGCAAGTACAAAGATTTTCAACTTTTGAACAAAGGATTGCCGTCTTTGAAATTTTTAGAAGGCAAACAAGCACAATCGGTACCACCAACAACCGATCCTGAAACCACGATCCCCCCAGTAATGCTCAAATCAAAGACCTGCTAGTGACAGCATTTGATGCTCTGCGGCAGGGGCCGCTTACCTGAAGGCAAGCTTTCGAATAGTCCAGATGAAGGTTCCGATACTGGTGCCCACTTTCCACAGACGTTCCTGGATGATGCGGTGACGCATTCCGAGGCTCTTTCACGACCACTGGAAACAGGCCATGGTGGAGGAATATGAGGATCTCATATCCAACGGAACGTTGACGCTTGTTGAAACGACGAAAGGCTATTAAGCGCAAATGGGTGTACAGGACCAAGCTGCATGTGAATTGCAACGTCGACCGGTACAAAGCCAGGCTGGCCATAAAAGGATACTCACAGCGAAAGGGAGTAGATTACGAGGACACCTACTCCCTGGTCGTTCGCTATAGCTTTCTGCGATATCTTCTCGCACTGCCAGCTCGATGGAACCTGCAGGTCGATCAAATGGACACTCTTACAGCTTTACTTCAGGGAGATCTCTCGGAGGAAATCTACATGGGCTAACCTCCTTGCTTCATGGACGGAAGGAACAAGGTTTGTCGTCTTAACAAAGCCTTGACGAGTATGGAAAACAAAACTGGATGCTGCCCTCCGGAAATTTGGTCTTGAGTATACCACATACGAGCCTTGTGTATACCACAGGATCAATGGTGGTAACAAGGTGCTGTTCGTAGCAGTATATGCTGATTACGTATTCATCTTCAACAACTGCAAGCGCTGGACGAAGGAAGTCAAACTGAAGCTTAGACAAGAGTTCAAGACGAAGGATATTGAACCTGCTAAATATGCTCTCGGTATCCGATCACCAAGACTGACGAAGCGGTTATATTGGATCAGTACGTAGGTATCTTACTTTCTTTCGTATGCATTCACAATTGCTTCACGCTTTTTGAAAAATACAGTTATGAGCCCTGTGGAAAAACACTTAGGGTAGGTGTTCCAGTAATAGTGGTGTACCTATAGTTACGGTATGGAGGTTGTGCCAGAATAGTGAGGAGGACCCGGATAAGATTACTTTTTATCGGTAGCTGTCCTAAAATAAAGCATATTTGCATATTTCAAACTTAAAATTAGCCCAAAAATTACGGAAAATCATTAATTTTCAAAATAATCTCCTTTGCACCTATAGTTGCGGTAGTGTTCCTATAATAGTGGAACCCATAAGAAACCAACGCATTCCACTATTATAGGAACCAAAGTTAGCAACTACCACAACTACTGGAACACCCAACAAACATTGGAAGCAGAATAAGAGCCTATTCAGGCAAAAATATGCTTTTTCCGCTGTATAATTGTTTATTCAGCCTTTAATCAACACAAATTGTTTGTAGGGCAGTGTTCCTATTAATGGAGGATGAGTTTTCTAAAATTGTATGCAATTTTATTACAGTGTAATATTTTTCTACACTGAGAAAAAGTCAATGATTGTTTCTATGTGTTCTACACATAGATTTTTGCAATTTGATTTATGATATAGTTTCTATATGACAGACACATAAATCTCACTTGCACATATCATCTCTATATGTGATCACACATACTGTTTATATGACACATAATCTGTATGTGTTTTGTTCCAGGATATCTAATTATGTGTGGCCAAATGAATATTATGCTTAATATTTTATAGAAATTTTCTATTAGTTATGTGTGGATTTTTACTAGTGTATCAAAATAGAGATTGAAAGCTATAGATTGACGTATAACAATTGTGTGTACATCGTATATTTATTGCTTAATTAATAAAATGGCTTAGTACCTCCACTACTGGCTCACCCACCCTAACGACTCAGGATTTTTATTGAATTTGACAGATTTTTGTTGCTTCAATTTGCCGTCTAGGAAACGTTTGAAAAAATAAAGTACAGTTTTTGCAATTTATATGCTCTGAGAAATGGGAAGTTTGTTTATGGAACCAGTTACTATGGAAATGAATTTAATACGTAGTATACATTACAATATAACCATGCTAACAAGATTTCCATACAGCATATCAACGGGTATTTGCTTTGAGCACAAGTCCCCAGCAGACAATCGTGGACGGACGAGTTTACCACTATTTGAAAGCTCTTGAACTCGTCTGCACCTATCTGCTTCAATGAAAGATACACAAGTCCAAAGTATGAGGAAAATTATCAATAACTCATCGCATACAAATGATGCAGATATAGTATGTTCTAGAAAGTTGTGTATTTTAGTTTGACAAACAATTTTGTAGAACATAATGAAGAGCTAAAATAAAAGAAAATATGTGTTTTGGTAAAAAAAAAGTGTTTTTGGAGGACTTTTAAACCACTTACTCTTTTCGTTTCACTTGAGCACCCATCGTAAAAGTAACGACTCTAGAATGCACGTCACCAATGATAACATACAAGGTGAATTGAATTAGCGTAAGACACCGTTCATACACACGCCTCTCCGTTATCTGTGCATGACTCGTTGCAATCGTAAACAATAATTATTTATGGGCTTTATTTCGTTACGGTAGGTTCAGGTGTCTAGCAACAACAACAAGATGCAAGACTTGCAGCGCTCTGTGAAGCATTTTCGGCAATGAATCCGGCTGATGAACTTGAACTCCCAGCCCAGCTGCAGATGATTGGATTGAGAGTGGTTCTATTTTCGGATTTGACAACCAAAAAAATGCAAGAGATAAAGAAAAAAAAAGGTCGCCTACTTACTTTTCAGATTGTGATCATTTTTAAACACTTTGAGCAGCTCCGGATGGTTGTATCCCAAAGGGACGGACGATATTTGCGTGTAAATGTCCAACAGTACGTTCCCATCGACGTCCTGCAGGTAGTTTCCGCTGGACCGCTCATAGTCGGCAAACAGCTGCACGGACCCTCCGTTCTAGCGATGGAATAGAGAAAGAAGAAACAATGTTTAGATCGCAACCCAATACCGAGAATGAAGCACAACATAAAATAATAATCATTCTATTTCAGTTGCATTCGTTGCATTCGTTGCATTCAAACGTTTCAAGTTCAGGGTCTCTTCCGTAGTTGTGTGTAAAATGATTCGGTGGAAAAATGACGCGGTAGGGTGGATCGAAAAATTTTAGTTTATGTTGGAAAAAGAAAGCATTCTCTCTGTCGATTATCAACATTATTCTATTAGGTACTTTATTTTGTAATACGTTTATTTGATAAGGTTCAATCGCAGTACCTTCAGTGGATTTTTACCACCGAAAAAATAGGGCAGCTTGGTTTAGACAGGGCAAGTCAATTGATCAAGTCAGTTGAATTCAACTGACTTGAACGCGAATTGAACTTGTAAACCATGCCATTCAACTGACTTGATCAACTCACTTGAATCGAAAAAAGTTGAACCAGGCTCAAATTTTCAAGCCAATTGAATTCAACTAAGTTGATCATTTGACTTGCCTAGTCATACACAGGGTCCCAGAATGTTGTGAAACTTTGCCCTCAGGTACAGTTTATGGTTATATGAACGAAAAGAAAAATCAAAAATTCGGGTTTCTTAATTTTCTTGGAAAAGTTTAGTTGAAGTTTTCGGATTTTCCCGGACATCCCGAACTTTGAAAATTCATAACTCATGAGCTAAGTATCGTAGAAAAATTTTGCCATCGAAAATTTTCTCAGTGCAGGAAAAATAATGAAAATGTCTCTCATAACTATTGAACAGGGGGGTCCCCAATGCATTTCCGTGAAAATCCAGAACCGTTAATCCGACGTGACCAACGAGTGTGACTTACGAGACTCTGATAACTTCTCAATGTGCAGAGTGTTTGGTTTGAATCGGCAAAAATTTTATAAAACTAGAGCCAAATGAACAACAGAATTTATGACAGCACGAAGAACGAATTCGTTAAGTTAAGATAACAATCCTGATAGTTACTTTCACATGGAAAAATATTGTTGTTTGAAAGAAACTTATAGTTATTCCAACATTAATTTGACCGTCAATTCAATCATATCTACCTAATAGATTCAACTGTTCATCTTATACTCAATTCAACTATAACTTTGATCAATTATAACAACCGTCAAATGTTATTTAGTTTTATAATTTGGTTTCAAGTGATCATCATAAATCCACATACTTTTAACTTATGCTGCGTAGAGCAGGCGATAAGATAGTTGGCTCTCACGCAGATGAACACGGTTCAAATCTTAGTTGAATGTTCTTGTTCACCTTTTTTATGATTTTGCAGTTGTGTTTTTGAGATCGATAAAGAAGCTAAACAAACTTCCTTAATATGTCGATAATGAATAGCAGTTCGTTTAATAAACATTGTAAAATTTTGCTTTCCTAACAAAAGTTTTCTTGAATCAACTAAAGCATAGTTGTATTTTGAAGTTTGACGTTTGTTCATCTACTGAAAAATATAGTTGAGCCAACCAAGGAGCCAACTATGGACTATAGTTGTTGCCCTCTTTATATAGTCAAATCAACTATAGTTTCGGGTTATATCTAAAACAATTGAACAATATAGTTATTTTGACCGGAAAAATAATTGCGTCTGCTATAATTTGTTCTCCGTGAGGATAATAATGCAAAGGTTAAAATGAATCTCGCATTTTTTGTGATAGCACATCAGTCCCTTAGCGATTTTCGCGACATAATTTAATGTTTCCGCGATTTTCGCGACTGAAAGTTCAAATCCGCGAAATTTGCAAAATCCGCGTCTGTTGTAACAGCCCTGGAAATCAAAAAGAGTGGCCAGCGGTTTTAAGCGGAACCTCAACCTCTTCATCCGAGATATCGCAAACAAGCTGAGAGTCTCGCCTACAACGAGCTAAAAAACGAGTCAGACTGTCCACTCATAAGAAGGTACTGTGACAAATTGTGACAAAACAAGACGTCCAAAACAGATCCCTCAGGGTTCACTCGGCTGTCGACAGAAGCAGGCCACTCTCGATGTGTGTCCTCCTCATTGTTCTTCATCAGCAGTTCTTTCGATCGATGCGTCGTCGACTTTGGAAAGCAACTGTTTCGTGATGAGTGTGTGAGTGAAGACCACGTTTTGACTCCATTGCTGCAATGAAAGCGCTCTGCCCCCCGTTGGCGATACTGCCATACAATGAAATTACTGGAAGCGGATCCCGTTCTGATCGAGGAGGCTTATTGAATAGCGGAAGATAAAGTGTTTACTGTGCTGTAAAAATACAAAAGTCTTTTGGCAGACATTTTCAAGCACATGAAACTGTCGAAGTTCGCTAAGAAATATCTGGTTTGGCAGGCTATAGGGTAGAGAACTATTTCGGCCTAATCGCCCATTTTGGGCCTATCGAGCAGAAAACTTCAAATAAATCCATGATTTCGGCGTTAACAGGTAAATTATGCGTTTGGTACGATACTTTAGGTAACAAGCAACCGAACAAAGTCAATTAGAACGCGTGATATGAAGGTTTTCACCCATTATTCTTATCTTCATCCGATAGGCCGAAGTGAATTCATTGGCGTTTCAATGGCGTTTCAATGGCGTTTCAATGCGTTAGGCCGAGTTTAGAATCCGTAGGCCGAGTTTGGTGTCAAGAAGCAGTGTTAGACTTTTGACAATATCTCAACGATTGGTTTCGCTTTATCAAATCTTACGGTACGTACGGAAAGGTAAATTAATTTGGAAGTCATCAGTAATAATAACATTCCGTTTGGTGCTAAACAGCGCTACATTAAGAAAGACTAAGTGCGGGTTGTGCTTAATAGGCCGGAAATGGGGTAGTTAACCATATGTACCTGTGGCTTGAAAAAACATCTGCTGCCTTTCCAGAAGCAACACGATTGTTCCGTGCTTTTTTGGCCGGATTTGGCATCCTGCCATCACGGAGAAAAGGGCCATGACATTCATATGAAAAATCGATAGCGATCGTCACCATTTAATGAATAAATGGAAAGATACTAAAAGCCTGATCGTGAATCATCTATAAACATCTTTATCAAAATGTTGCTACTAATCGTTACCTATGTAAAAATATCGATTCGTGTTGCCAGATCAAAATATCGATTTCTCTTGTCAGATCAAAATAACAATACACGGTACTGATATTTTTGGGATTTTTTTTGTTATCTGCATAATTGCTAGGTTTCGATCCCGTGCCATCTAGGGTGTACTTAGTTCTTTTTTGGTAGCTAATCCTCGTGTTTACAGCTGCTGTTGATAAGCTTCTTAACGACTGGCAATCACACTCTAGTATATGGTGTTTTGAAATTTATGTACATCCTTTCAAGCATGAATTCAAAATTTATTTGTCATATCCATAACCAAAGTATCAAGTTCCCTCATTCGGTTCAAAATGCCGAGAATTCTACCACGCTGGCTATCGCTGATTCTTCAGAAATGGCCGAGAGCGTATCGACGTAAACCTAAAGAACTATAATGGCAAACGTTTGTATCATCGTGGCCATCGATCAGTCTTCCTATTAATTTTCCGGCAGATCATGCTTCTCTCGATGAAGACCCAAATTTGTCGATAACTAATATAAACATTGCCATCTGTCATCTAGTGTGTATCAAACTCTCTTTACCCACCGATGCAAATCGATAACAAGGAGATTATAAATGTACATTGATGGCAATCTTTATTGTTCTTTGCCAAAGTTCAACGTTACGATGGTATCAGTATTCAAATATTTTTAGATGAATATTTATAAAGACAACTATACTCCTTGTGACACATCGAAATTAGAAAAAATTTAGTATGGCATCTTTATATATTACTATCATGTGACCGATAAAGAAATTATCTTAAATGTAAGTATCGATCAATCAAGGTTTTTTAAATATATTCATCGAAATCAAAGAAACATGAAAGTAAAGAATTACCGACATTAATCTTTGATTTTGTATAAAGAACTTTGAAGAAGTTTCACGAATGGTTGGTCGGGAGCATATTCTTGGTATAGTCATGTATTCTTCTTTGGTATAGCTGGGAATCATTGATGAAAAAGACTATGATTGGTGTTCACATTCCATGTTTAGTGTTCAAGTTGGCGACGAATGAAAAACACGTGCGCGAGTGGATTTTGTACGAACGTAATGCAAATCCTGACTCGCCAATATGGGAACTTGCAAAAAATTTGGATTTACCTAAATCCACTGTTCACGGTATGCTCAAATTATTTTCGGACCGTTTGACGGTCGAGAGGAAACCGAGAAGTGATAAAAACATTCGACGTGCTGATCCTGTCATGGACCGAAAGGTGAAGAGGATATTGAGGGAAAACCCGAATCTCTCTGTTCGAACGGTGGCTCGTAAAATAGGGATGTCAGTTGGTTTTGTCCAAAAATCAAAACAGCGTTTGGGGCTGGAGTCGTATAAAGTAGTTCCAAATCGCAACGACAAACATAATTTGACAGCAAAATAACGGGCTTGATGTATGTACTGCGAATATTTGACGATGTTTTCATGCGACGACTAAACTTATGTCTTGGCCAGGCATGGACAATCATTTGCATTCATTTCGTGCATTCATTTACATTCATTTGCCCCTAACTTTTTTCATCGACAGAATTTCGCAAAATGATGTATTAAGCTTTTGTAGGTTTTGTTATAAACTACAACTTTTGTTAACAACTCAAATCCGTATCTCTTATGTATGACGAACCAAAGCGAACAGAAGCCTCTACTGTTTTTCAGTGAATGTATTTTACATTCACTGAAAAACAGTAACAAGTTTTGCCCGCTCTAATTCGTGATGCATAAGAGATACAGATTTGAGTTTTGGGCAAAAGTTGTAGCTAATAACAAAACCTACTAAAACTCTATACATCATTTTGCGGAGTGCTGTTGAGGAAAAAAGTTAGAGGCAAATGAATGTAAATGATTGCATGAAATGAATGTAAATGATTTTCCATGCCTGGTCTTGGCCCAAGTAGCAATTCAGCAATCATTTGGCGTCCACTCCGATTTATGGATGTTTTATAATGGCAATGAATAATAGTTAGTTTAAATACAGCATTTCACAGTGTAAAACGTTCCTGCTTAGTAGGTCACCTTTTCGCTGTTTTAAAAACATTTTACAGTCTGGCGAGAAGTCAAAAACTGTCTTGTTTTAAAATTAAATTTAAAGTAGTTCTCAATCCCACCATAAAACTGTTCTATAAATCAATCATAAACTGCTTTAGCAATTTTTTATTAATGTCTTGATAAAATACTCTATAAACCTGTTCTATCATTATAAAAGCAATCATAAAACCATTAGGTTTAAATGAGAGCAAAAGGCATATATTGTTGCTTTTTAGGCTTTTAAAAGTGTATCATAAAATCTCCTCTGTTTACAAATTGAATTTTAAGGATGGATCCTCACAGTGAATATAAACCAAATTTATGACAAGGATATCTCGAAAGATAAACGAAGTTGGAGGAAAAATTCAAGCGATGCTAACGACCGAAGGGAAGTCGATTTCAGTAAAATTTAGTTCTTTAGAAGAACCAGCACGACTGGCAGAACGGGTACCATCAACGACTGAGCATCTGGTGGAGAAGAGTGAAGTGAGCGTGGTCCTCAAATTCATAAAACATTGTCAAAACAGTCTGAAAACAGACCAGCCTTCTCCAGACCTTGCAAATAGATGAAGATCGGACTAACTTTTGTCAGTACCGACAGCAAACCACTGAAACTGTCAGTTAGCGGACACTAGTTGGCTTCCGATCCATAGCTGCGATTTTATTCGGCGAAATGCTCATCACTTGGAAAAAAAATCATTCAACCGTACATTTCTGCATCTGCATCGTACATCCGGAAGAAGGGGATCTTTTCGGGAATGATCGAGGTTACAGCTGTGCAAAATGTTGTGAACACTTTCTGAGCAACTGCTTCCAAGCTATCGAGAGAGACTCCCTGGAAGAACGCTGAATCGCACATCGCAACTAACGAAAGATAAACAAACTTTGACGTTTAACATTTTGTAGGCAACATTACCGCCATAAATGCTGCCATAAATCTGAACGGGTTAGGATCAAGCAAAATGGCTTTAGATAAATACAATTCAGTCTACAAGTTTTCTTCATAAAAGCCATTTCAAAACCTTATGAATTTGTTAAGGATTTCTTGAAAGCAAAATAACTTTTTCAAAAATGGCCCATGAAAATCAACTGTTATACCTCCGCCATATTACAATTATTTTGTTTGTTTTTTTACAATCTTCGATTTTCAATCTATATTTCCTTGGTTATAACTTTATTTTAGTTAATTTAGCAATGAGAAAATATTTAGAATGCAAAAATTATGAGAAACAAAAATCTCGGCTAAGCTTAATGATCGACCTGAAGAATATATTTTTTCCTTAATGTAAAATAATTAGTAAAATCGATGTTTTCCGTGGGCGGACTCAAGTTTTTCGATGTTTTCACGTACATTTTACATCAAATTTTATATGGCACATAAAACTAGGCCACTTCACGAGAACTATTTTATAATTTTGGAAATTCGGCAGGATTTTTATACGATCAGTTTTTATTTTAATTATTTTGATAAGATCGGATGGTATTTATGAATCCTTTTTATCTTGATTGTTGTTTTTCTAGTGAACTTAGCAAGCAGCTAGGGTAAATGGCTCGGATAATGGTTTTAATTGTTGCCAAGTAGCTTTTATTGTAGCTTAAATACGGGTTTTAAAATGGATCTCAATGTGTTTATCGCACAACCATTTTGCAGTAAATCAATCTTGAAGAGCTTCGAAAATATACCCTTCAGAACCTTCTCCAGGGTGGGCCAACTAGACAGATTCTAGCATCAATGAGGTTTTAGTGGATGCATCAATGGCAAATCAGTCTTGACCAGGGTTTTATGAATGTTGTTTTATAGTAGCTTTGTAGTATTTCATAAAACTTAAAATGTTACTTGGGGGAGAAGGACGAAGAAGACATCGAAATTTCCCAAAAATACCTTATTTGACAAGCAATTTGCACGTGTGGCCGAAAGAGTAAATCTTTCGTAACTTCAGGCTCAAGGAGATTTACCAGAAAGAGTCCCTGGAGAAGCGATTACTACTCTTCATCAAAAGCCACAAAGAAACCCCCTTGTTCTGGGCCGATTTGGCGTCATGCCATTATGTTAGGATGGAGTGGTACCATAGAGATAACTCTAAGATTAGTAGGTCCCGAAGAAACGAGCTCAACTTTTTGGCTCAGCTCTGGTACTATCTTCGGTCCCAAGCTAATCGATTCACCCCTCGAAACATAGGAAAATCCGCTAAACCTAGTAGTAGAATTTTGACTAGAATGGGGTACGTTGATCGTTTGCTTGGGACCAATAGGCTAGCCAAGTAGTGAGCCAATTTAAAATCGTTAGTTTCGTATTGATTGTTGGTGGTACGAAGCAAATCAAGTGAATATTGTACCAAAAACCGCAAATCCGCCAAATTGTCCAGAGTTACCTCCAATCGAGAGATATTGGGCTCATGCAATACCGCAAATACCGAATAACTATGTTTAGACTTCGTGAATTTTTAAATCATATCCCATGAATCTGAAATACACAACTACGATTGAAATGTAATGCGAAATTTGTGTTTTAATTAAGTTTTGATGTGTCCGGATTATTGTGGATACAGACCTTACTTGATCAACGTATTAAAATCCAGAGCGCTTTACTGAAGTATTCGTCTAACTGGAGGTATTTTGAATACCTCCCGAACAACCTGCCGTTTACGGAGAATATCTTAGAGGATATCGTATAACATGGACAACGTTCCCTGAACATCTACAAAATTCCCTTTGGTTCTAGAATATGTAAGCTCTCATAATTCGACCTAGATCTCAGAGCATCTATGGACTTTTTCGATCTTCCGGAAAAATCTTCATCCATTTCTACGAATACTCCTGTTCACCTGGGAAGTTTCCTGATATTAAGTTAAAGTTAACTTTATTGAGAAAAAAAATTCCCAAACTAAAACGAAGATTCATGAAATTCTTAGAAGTTTGCTGAGCTTTTGCGAAATTTTTGTACTATTCTACGACATTTCCTGAGCTTTTGTTTAAAAAATCTTACTCTGCGGTATGCTGCAGAACAGTCCTATTTATTTATTTTTTTTGTTTTCGAAGTTGTGTTATAGGTACAATATACAATCAATTGTCAACTGCCATCTCAATTAATTTGAGTTTTGTTCTGCACCATATATTTAGTAAGGGAACTGGGTTACAATATATGGCATAAAAAGCATTTAATCAAAACTGAGGATGTTCTCAAATGAACACTTGAATTTAAAACGGGCAGGAACGTAGTCAATCCGAAATAAAAATCAACTATCTGTTAGCCCCTTTAAGATCGTGAATCTCAAAATATTGAGACATTTAATGAGGACATTCAAATTTTCCGACCACCCTAATGACGCAGCCCGTGTTTTGTCTACTATACGCTGCGTGTGTGATAAATATGCGTGGGTGCTGATGAACAACAAACCCCCGGTCAGAGACAGAGGGCACGGACAGATGTTTACGGATTCAGAAAGTTAAAAATAACAGAAAATTTCCAATTCGTTTCAGAGAATGACAACCAAAAATAAACCCATTTCAAATGATATACACAGCCCCGATATCTGCCTTGCTGCTGGGTGTCACAAAACGAAACATTGCCCCCAATTTAGATCAATTGATGTAAATTGATACAGCGTAACAGACAATCAAAACTCATCTATGCTCGCAAACACAGAACGGATATGAACGACACTGCAAATGCTGCAAATTTGCATTGTAGAAGTGTACATTACCTGCAGAGCGCTCAACTGCTTTAGCAGTTCCTTCGACTTTGGTCCAGGGATGGAGGTTTTGACAGATGGGCCATTGGGCTCGCTCAGCTGGGTCGCGAATGTTCGGCATACTGCAGAGAGAAAAAAAAGTTATGCATATTATCGATCCATCGCCCGCCGCCGGTGTCTGCTGAATGACCCAGGAAAACGAACTTACATTTCTGCAGCGAATTATGTCTCTGGGCTTCAACCCGCAGTGCAGCAGCACTCAACGTCTTCAGCCACATCTTGCAACACCCAATTACAGTTCAATTAGCACCTTTTTCTTACGATTTTTTACACTTGAAATCTGTATGAATTTTCCCTTGAATGCACTTCGAGAAATGTCACAATTTCACACCAGAACTTCGCACCAACTAACCATGCGCCAGAAAAACCCGGAGCTATAAAACTTCTCTTCTCACCAGGAGCAACGGATGGAATGAATCCGAACCCCCTAATGTTCAGTTTTCAGAGGCAGAAGACGCAAGACTTTTATCAACCGGACGGCTCTCCCTTGCATGATGGGGTGTTTACACTTATGCTATTTCACTAGCGCTAATGAGCCAACTGCTAGCAAAAAAGCTCACCAGCATAATGTAAACAGGGCATTACTGTCTACCAGCATGAGATTTCAGGAGCAACTGAAATTCGTGCTAGTTGCCTAGTACACTACCGCTAGCAAATCCGCACAGATGTAAACACCCCATGAAGCGCACATGCCGGTCCCACGGAGGGAGTTTTTGAATCCGATTCTCAGTCCAAAGAAAGCATACAAGCAAGCTCTTTTCTCCTACATCGCATTGATTCTCTGTGCTCCGAATTATGAAATCTGTATCACTGTTGGTATCACACTCCGGCGTTTCGAAAGAGAGAACATTTGAAATCTTCTCTTCACACAGAGCGAGGTGCAGCACGTGGGTACCGTAGGAGGGTGTAAAATTTCATGAAATTGTGTAATACGAAAAGGATCTCTGCTGCTACGCAATATTTTCGATTTTGTCAGTGCGCTAACAAAACAACTAACAAAGAATATACTCCAAGAATTATAAAATATTGGTCGCTGATAATATTTTATGTTCAGAATCATAAGGGCGTAGCTGCAATGATCGATTATCATCTTCATTGATTTTCTATTTGAATTAGGTACTACAGTTAAGTCAATCAGTTCTCCGGAATCTTTCCAATACAGTTCACAGTGCAAAAGCCACATTTATGAGAAATAAAATGAATGCGCCTAAACCATTAATTTTAAGATAACAGCGTCTTCAGGAATTGCTTTAGCCATTTATTTCATGTGGGTGAAATTAGAAAGGTCCTTGAGCAAGGAATCAAAAATATCTCCAAATGACAAAATGACAAGCGATCAACGAACCGAATGATAACGCTATGTCAGAAGTGGAAAGCAATAATGATATAATCTTCTTTCTACTTTTTCATGACAAGCAGCCCTTGCGACACAACTCACTCGGGGCGGTAGAAGGAAACGAGCAAATTGTTGGCAAGCTGCTTCACGAAGTAAAGCCGAAGATGATACACGTGTGTAAATGGAAATTTTTTTGTTATGTCTTTTCTCGATTCAGATCAAGCCATGTCCTCATCCTCATTATTATCTTTCTACCACTCGGATCGAGCTATGTTACAGAGCGAGTTTGTCATACAAGTCGTAGCAACCGTTTTGTCTGTATCATTGGTTGCATTATGTGTTTGGATTCGCTGTCCTTGAGTCCTGAATTCTGAACATTAACTTAACACAGTAGCGAATCAATCTAAAAAACATGTTTCTATTATCGCTTCTGGCGCCTTCCTTACACTGAGGCAAAAGAACGTGAGAAATCCACAAGAACAACTTATGAATTTTAGCCACAAGAAATCGGTATGAATTTCATTGATTTGCCTTAAGCTGGGTTTAGACAGGGCAAGTCAATTGATCAAGTCAGTTGAATTCAACTGACTTGATCAACAGCCGGAGCAACGGAAACTCGGCCGGACCGGATGAAATCGGATACCCACTGCTGAAGCATCTACCGCTCGAAGGGAAAACACAATTGCTCGAACTCTACAACCAGCTATGGACCAACTACCCGGGCTATGGAATACCCGGACAAATGGAGGGAAAGTCTCGTGATCCCGATCCCCAAAACAAATATAGGGACCAAGGACGTCACAGGATTCCGCCCCATCGCGCTGACCTGCTGCATGGCCAAAGTCTTGGAGCGGATGGTCAACAGAAGGCTCAAGCAATACCTGGAGTCTAAGGGACTGCTTGACCATCGACAGCACGCCTTCAGGCAAGGGTACGGTACCTCCACCTACTTCGCCACTCTTGGAGAAGTCCTGAAGGAGGCACAGGACCAAGGCCATCATACGGAGATCGTCTCGCTGGACATCTCCAAAGCTTTCAACAGAACGTGGACACCAGCAGTAATGAAGAAGTTAGCCGAATGGGAACTAAAAGGACGCATCCTACACTTCGTCCGAAACTTTCTGACCGACCGATCTTTTCGGGTGTCGGTCGGAAACGTCCAATCCAGAAGGTTCAGCGAAGAAACCGGAGTACCACAGGGTTCGGTGATCGCGGTCACCCTCTTCCTGGTGGCCATGAACGGGGTCTTCGACAAGCTACCCAAGAACATATATATTTTCGTCTACGCGGATGACGTCCTCATTGTAACGGTGGTCCCCACCCTGCAGAGGACGAAATTAAGGGCGCAAGCGGCAGTCTCCTCGGTGGTCAGATGGGCTGACTCCGTTGGGTTCCAGCTTTCCGCCGGCAAGAGCGTGCGCTGCCATATATGCACCACCCGGCATCGGAACAACGGACAGCCCATCATGATCAAACAGCAAGCGATACCGACCAAAAACACAATAAGGGTCCTGGGAGTGCTCCTCGATCGGAACCTATCCCTCGAGCCGCACTTCCAACAGGTGAAGAAGGACTGTCGTAGTCGATCCAACCTGATGAAGACCATCTCTCGCCCCCACCGATCCAACAACCGTGAAATCCGCTTCCGAGTAGCCCGAGCCATCATCGACAGTTGCCTATTCTACGGCGTAGAACTAACGTGCCTTGCCGCCGAGAAAGCCGTCCAAATCTTGGAATCGGTCTACAACGGATACATAAGAACAGTCTCCGGTCTCCTACCCTCCACCCCGGCCGACGCCGCGTGCGTTGAAGCCGGTATTCTGTCTTTTCGGCTCGTCTACACCGCAGCTACCGCTACCAAAGCCGCTGTCTTCCTCGCTAAAACGTCGGGAAACAGCAGGATCTTTCTCCTCGACGAGGCGAACCGACTTCTCCGCACGGTCGCCGACGTAGATCTCCCTCCAGTGGCCAGGGTCCACTGGCACGGAGACAAAAGTTGGCAATCACATCAGATCAGAATCGACAGCCGAATCAAGGACCGCTTCAGGGCAGGAGACAACTCACTGGCTTTGCGCTGGACAGTCGTCGGAACTCTCGGGGCGCACTATCAAGATCACGAAATCAGGTACACCGATGGCTCGCTCTCCAGCAGCGGAGTGGGAATGGGGGTTTCAGGAGATAGTTTGGGCGTCAGCAATTCACTTCCGGCCCAGTGCTCGGTGTTTTCCGCTGAGGCAGCGGCCGTCTTTCACGCAGCCACCCTTCCGGCCAATCGGCCGATCCTCATCGTTACCGACTCACAAAGCGCAATAATGGCCCTAACCGATGAAGCACCAAAGCATCCGTGGATACAAGGGACGGTAACGCATGCGCCGCCCAACACCGTATACATGTGGGTACCCGGGCACTGTGGCATCCAGGGGAACGTGATCGCCGACCACCTCGCCGGCTCAGGCCCCATCGGACCCAGGTTCACTGACAATGTTCCATTCCAGGACATCAAGAAATGGATCAAGCGGACGGTTCGGAGAGTGTGGGACAACGAGTGGAGGAACAATCGAACTCACCAACTACGAAAAATCAAGGCGACCACCGATCCCTGGAAGGATCGACCGAGCCTCAAGGAGCAGCAAGTGGTGTCCAGGCTGCGCACCGGGCACAGCAGGGCCTCCCATAATTTCGGAGGAACACCGTTCCGGAGAACCTGCGAAACCTGCGGAGTGCCAGCCTCCGTAGAACGAATCCTCATCAACTGTGTGGAGCTCGAGGACCTTCGGGTTGCCTTCGATCTGGAGGGAACCAGCATACGAAGTCTGCTTGGCGACGAGTCCCCGGCAGCAGACGCCCTCATCGCCAGGAGGCGAATCTTTTTTACAACATTTGAGTGTTTTCTGTTTGTGCTTTTGAATTAGTTGGCCCTTTTGGTAGTGTTTTTACAATATTTTATATAATTAAGCTAAATGCCCACTTGCCAAGATTGGGATCCTCCTTTTGAGGTCCCAATTCCTTTTTGTAATGTTTAAAAGAGATGAACTAGCCTTAGGCTAAAAATCTCTCTAATAAAGGAAAAAAAAATGACTTGATCAACTACTTGAATTGAAAAAAGTTGAACCAGGTCAACTTTTCAAGCCAATTGAATTCAACTGAGTTGATCATTTGACTTACCTAGTCTAAACCCAGCTTAATGAAAAATAATGTTGACAAAAAATATAAAATGGAGCAGACTGGAATCGAACCATTAACGTTGAGGTTACAGGCCCCGTGTATTGACCACTCGTCTTTCAACGCTTGGCAAAGTGAAATAGTTAACGCCTATAAAAACTACCTAATGTTAGACGAAAATCATTCATAAGTCACGCTTATGAAATGCATGTGTGTCGTTCATTAGTCGAAACTTATGAAATTCTTACGTTTATTTGCCTGAGTGTAGCTCAGTCGGTAAAGGCGCAGCTACAAAGCAAGACCATACTGGAGGTGGCTGGGTTCGATTTTCGGTCCGGTAAAATTTTGGAATCTTGTAGTTGATAATACCACCAACCAATGACTTGACCTGAGGTACCTCTTCCTGAGATCGCCTCATTAGTCCAATATTGCAGAGAATACAACAAGTCGTTCATCATTGGCTGTTATGCAAATGCGCATCATACCGTGTGGGGTAGTACGGACATCAACAGTCGATGTGAGTGCCTTTTGGAATGTCTCTTATCTTATAATATAGATATATGCAACAAAGGAAATGAACCTACTTTTTCAAATGCCATTAGACAGGAAGTTTTAGACTTGACATTTTGCAACACTGCAATTTCTGAGAAGATTCGAAATTGGCATGTGTCAGATGAAATCTCACTTGCTGATCATAAACACATTATGTTTGAATGGGGTGGAGGTGATTTACCACCTTCTGCATTTAGAGATCCTAGGAAAACAAACTGGGATCAATATGCACAGTGCTTAGATTCAGATATATTTACAAACGACGTAAAGATTGATTCTATCCAACAATTGGAATCATTTTCTGAAAATGTAAACGAAAGAATAATAAATTCCTACAACAGTAGCTGTCCTTTCAAACGGTCGTCTTCTAACAGGGATGTGCCGTGGTG